ATACATGTACACACAGCGCATATCTGTGTGTACATGAATTTGTATGTCCAATAAGTCCACAAAAACAACAACATCTGAGAAATTAATCCTGGGTTAGTGAGACTGGATGCCAACGTGTTTATACTGGTCTGTTTCTATCTCTCCATTGGTGTGTTAGTATGCAGGAATCAATTTGAAGTAATTATGTTGTAAATAAATACAAATTAAATGAAGTAAGAAGTAAAGCGAAGTAAATGTTGCTCAAAAAGAAACTTGAAAACTGGGTGTTTACCTCCAGGTGGTGCTAAATTGTTTCCTCTGTCTGATCTTGACTTTGGCACCCAGGGTGCACTGCAAAACACTGTCAGACCTGTCCACTGGGGAAAAAACCCCCTCAAAAACAGTTCCAGAAAAGATATTTTTCTGTGACCCTGCAGTTCCTTGAGAGGAACTTATTTGACGCACACAGTTTGTGTAGTTGCTGAAACTCTTCATCCAGTTAAGTTTGATAAAACACTTGCAGACAAAGTATATTCAGGTCATACACAGTATTATTATAAAAAAGGAAGCTTCTGCTGTTTACTGGATGTTGGTGTTGAACATCTGCATCTGCACTAAAAACTATATTTATACACAGTATATATGCTTTAGTTTTCTGTAAATACACTTATGACTATCGCCCACCCCTTCCACCGTCTGCTTTCTGTGGGCGACTAAATGAAGGTGCAGACATTTCTCTGAGAGTAGTTCAGGTATGCGAAAGGGCAGGAGCTGCATGTAGGAGGAGCCAGGGCCTAATTTATAATGTCGAAGGTGTGGAGGGGTCTGTACTGTTACCATAGAGACCTTTGTGGCTGACTGCAGCTGCTGATTTGTGTCGCCTCTTTGTTCTTGAGGGGGATGCGATGGCTCACATGCACAAAGCTTACACAGTATAGTGTCATTTTACATCTTTTGCATTTTGACAGGCATATTCAGAGAAAGCATAAGGAGAACCAAAACATAGCATCTGATCATTTTTGGATCTGGTGAGCTGGGGTCCAGGAGGTAATGTCCATCATACAAAATAAAATGTTTAGTATGTTTCTTTGGACTTAAGCAAGAGAAATCAGATGATGAAGTTTGAATGTTCATCATATAAATTAAGCTTCTGAAATTTTGTTATTCAGTGATTCTCAACTAGCTTTATTACGAGAAACATTTTAAAGCTTGTTAAAGAGGATACATTTTCTCCAGCAGACACAAAACTTAAGGAAAGTTGTAATAATGTATAGAAAAACAACCAATCTTTGTCTTCAGATTTATTCGGATCACTTTAAAGAGAATGACCATGTACAAAATCTTTTAAAACCCTTTTAGTTTTTGTGTTTTAGAACACAACTTACTGTAATTCATTCTACTTTTAGAAGACTTAGTCTTCGTCTATTTTTCTTTCTACTTTTCTTTTTCTTTCTAGTTACATTTACACGTTGTGAGCAGAGCAGGGTTCCTTTTGTTGCAGAAAAATGCCCAGTTTACTCAGCTGTTATATTATTGATTTGGATCATTAAATGTTTTTTGGGGAGGAGGAGTGAGTATATACAACATGTATTCTTAAAAAACATTACAGGGACCATCTCGTTTTAAGTTGCTAAACAGTTTTAAGCATTAAGCCTTGTTATAACAGTGGTAACATCGCCAACCTGTATTGATCATCTCATTCCACAAACTCAGCTTGTTGTCTTATGTAATTTTTTCTGCAATACTAAAGTTAGGGAGACTGTGAGGGCCATGGCTGGATTCAAGCTGTGTTTAGGGTCATTATCCTACTGTAGAAAACCTACTATTTCTGTTCAATTTCAGTCTGGATTGCAGACCTTCTGCCTACACACAGTAATTCTGGTTCCAGTCCAGCTAGCACTCAAGCAGCGGTATGAATGGTGATGAGGCTACAATTAGGCATGTCACACAACACAATGTGGTGATCAAGAATCAGGCTTCAGAGTTAAGTTTTGTTGCAATTTCTACAAATAACTATAAATACAAATGCTTTACCAGTGGATCAAAACAGTTATCCTTTCCCTGCATCCATAGTAATTAGCAAATGTAGTCATAGAGCCAGTTGGCCAGTTTTAATGTTTCCAGCAAATACAGATGGTAAAGAGAAGCTTGTAAATAATATATATTCCCTACTATATAATTTGATATATATGAAAGAAAGACACATGTTTGTTATATTTTTTCTCCGAGGATTAATTAACAAATCCTTCACCACCACTCCACTTGGACTAACACATGTCAAGGTGTAAGGACTGGTTTGGAATAGGGACACACTCTTTAACTTTTTAAGCCACTGTGATGTTTGCTGTCAGAATTTGTTAATATTTAATTACAAGTTAAATATTCCCTGTGTCACCGAGTGCAACACAACCCTCAAACACCCCCGTGCTTAATGATTCGAAAAGTGTTACTTCCAACATACTTTTTTTTTTCTGAAAACACACCTTTGCTCATTAAGGCCAAAAAGTTCTATTTTAACTTTATCGAGACTTTATCGAGGTGTAGAACTAAAAAGCTCATCTTCACCTCCATCATTTCTGATAGCTTACATCTTTTAATTATACAAACACGTAGAAGGTTAAGGAGTTCCTTTGAAGAGGCTTTCCCAACTATAAATTTAGTTTCTTATAAATTTCTTATACCTGCATACCAATTGAAAGTTTTGCTTAGAGTTGCCCAAACTTTTGCATGAGTGCAGCCAGCTCTCCTTTTAATTGACAATTACTGATTGCCAAGAGCTTTGTCATTGCTGCGTTTACTGACCGTATAAAAGAAAGGCATTCTGTTCATAATTTTAGTTGAGCACAAACTCCTTAAATGTTTTTGTAATAAGCTGTAAGTATGTTTTTTGCTGCCTTGTAGCTCTAGCTAATAAGAATATATAATGGCATGTACTTAGACAAGTCAGCCGAGCTCTGTCATCTGGTAAACGCAAACTGTCCTTTGGCCAATTCAGTAATGGGAAACTTTCTGATGCCATACCATACTAGCTTTATTTGTAAAGTGCTTCAAAACAACCACAATGGACCAGAGTGTTTTACAGAAGGATGAATAAAAGACATAATAAAGAACACCATAGCAGTTTACACACTGTCGCCAAAGTGCTTGCTCATAGGGGGTCATATGATTGTTGGGTTTTTCTCTGTATCTATGAAGCGCCTTGAGGCGACTTTTGTTGTGATTTGGCGCTATATAAATAAAATTGAATTGAATTGAATTGAATTGAACAAGGCAAAAAATACACATGAAATACAAATGAAATAAATAAAACAGAAAACATGAGAAGAACAGTATTGATTGGATGAAAAAAAATTAAAAACAGATGAAATAAATTAAGATTAAAAAAAAGTTATTATATATCACTAACATAGCAGTGCCTAAGACGGAGGGATATGAATGAAATAACGCTGTGACTAAGGGTTATGCATAATTTAACTGTAACTTGCCTAACAGGTTTCTCTTTGGGTTTAGCATTCAGACATTACCATGTTACCTCAGAAGGTGTTTAAGATACTCTACCAGTGAGGCATAATACATCATCAATTAGCATAATGCTACTTTCGGTACAGGGATTTGCATTTTTGCACCTTGAGGATTTAAACAAGTTGCATCTATGGCAAACAAGGTGACAAAGCAGTCTCTTTGGGGAGCAGAACAGAGCAGAGCTTTGAAGAGAGGCACCTTGCTGTAAAACAAAGTCGTAAATTGGAATTACAGGCCCAGAGGGTTTAATAGACTCTGCTCAAATTTCCAGCATTACCTTACTTTGCAAATCTTAGAGGTGGCTGAAACTGAGTGAGTTATTAACAAAATGGAATGGGTCTGAAATGGGCTTCAGAATACTTACACCTCTGAAACATATGTGTGTGTGTGTGTGTGTGTGTGTGTGTGTGTGTGTGTGTGTGTGTGTGTGTGTGTGCGTGCATTGTACTGTATTTGTCAGTTAACAATACAAACGTTAGGCTACAGTTCCACAAATGGATACAAGCCCCTATCCCAGTGAAAGCAAATAGATCTTTCTTTCAGTGTTTAAGTATTAACACAAAGCTGTCAGAAAAGCTGAAAAAAACCTCAGAGTGATCACCATAGTGATTCTACCACAGAAACAGGTATGTGTGGAAATGGAGGATACAGGGTGTTTAGTGACTGGAGATCATGATGACTGACAGAACGGGAATTTAAATAGCTAATGCATCAACACACACATGCACACGCAGGCAAGTTTTGGTTAAGAGTGATATATAATCGGCACAAGCAGTTCTCCCCATCGATTTCTGTCTTAAAATCCTGACAGTAACCTGCAACCCACCAAACTGTACTCACTGAAAAGCCTTCTCTATCTGTAGCAACAGAACCATTAAATCCACAGAGTACACATAAAGCTCTTTTTTTAATGTGGCTGTGATAATATGAGCGTAAATTTAATTATATTGAAAAGTTGTCAGGACTCAGGTTGTTTTACTGTCAGGATTTGTGACAGAATTTCATCTGCAGTAATGCATTTTTTTCATTAAATACAAAGGTTTCAAAATACAAATACCTAAAATTGATTAAAAAAGACAGAATCCCACCAGTAGATTTTTTTTTCAGTAAATGACATTGTTAACTGTCTAACCTGCCAAATAGGAACACACTTTATTTGGGAGCGATACATTTAATTAATTCTACAAATATCTTCACATTCATGACCACACAGTCGCTGGGATTGAAGCGATTCTTTGCTCACATATTTAGAACACTTTTAACACAACACTCTGCCTACACATTGCCTAACACATTTTTCTCACCTGTCAGTCAAGTTTGATAGCACAATTATTTTAACTTTTTTAGAGCCGTCTTCCAGCCATAAGCTGTTTCGATGACCTATAATACCTGACTTCCTCTGCAGACCCCGAGTGCTCTCTGTCTCTTTCTTTCTTCCTCTCTCTCATTCTCTCTCATGTTCCGCCTAACACGCAATTTCTTTTTATGTCTTCCATCAGGAGCTTCAGTTTGAGCGTCTGACCAGGGAACTTGAGGCTGAGCGTCAGATTGTTGCCACCCAGCTGGAGAGATGCAAGCTGGGATCAGAAGCAGGCAGCATGAGCAGCATTAGGTACCAAGAAAACCTCTGTGTGTGTGTGTGTGTGTGTGTGTGTGTGTGTGTGTGTGTGTGTGTGTGTGTGTGTGTGTGTGTGTGTGTGTGTGTGTGTAGTATGTCATCTTTGTACATCTTCAACTTCAAATATGACATGAATGCACTACAGTATGCCCATTTTCTTCTTTGCCTTATAAAATAATGCTGCTAGTAAAGGACAGCATTCCTCCTGCTGTTGGGTGCATTTGTAAGCTGGATAGATTGGGACGACACTCACTTTAAAGGTTAAATCAATCACAAAAAAGTACACACCTGTCATCATTTTGATTTTTAAATACATACTTGAGCATGAAGTAATTAACACTTGGTTAATGGGGGTTTGCACACATACTATAGATGGGTGTATGAAATAATAACACTGTACCACATGGCTGTGTAGACTTTCACACATAACACACAGTTTAGCCACATTCACTTCATACACATACACTGTACACGTCGTACAGCAGGCACATCAAGGATGATTTCTGCATGGGTGCATGGAGGGAAGCTTTGGGAGTGTTTATCAGTGTTTATGCATCACAAATGCTTTGTCTTTACATGAAGGTATGACAATACACACCTTCCCCCACATATTTACATGGCCACAAAACCACTTTATTTTGATTATGCTCCATTGAAAGCTTTTTATATTATTATAATATCTATCAACATATTAGTCCCAAAACCCATTGAAATACGACCTCAGTCATACACGTAGGTCTGACCTTTGTGTTCAGTAATTATTTTTAGATAAAAAAGAGAAAAGAGAGCGCTTAACATAAAGAGATAACGAGTATAAAGAGTATCTGAACCTTTCTTCAAACAGAATGAGCTTCTTTTTGCATTTACATCACTTTTCACTTTTGAAAAAAAAAAAGTTAAGTTTAGTGGAAAGGTGGTGAAAATAGTTTTTTGTGTGTGTTCTGGGTTTTTGTGTGCCTGTTTAGTTGTGTTTTGTTGAGTTTGTATGAAATTTGCTGTCATGTCAGAGAGTCAAGTTCATATGCATTCAACATCCATCTGACTCCCTCAGGCAGCTGGTTGCATAAGTACGCAAACCTGAGGGGTGAAGACAAACTGTGCAGCAAAAAAGAGACTTTTGAACTTTATTTACTTGAGCTGAGACTAAGATGGAACTCTTTTTATGGATAAATTCAGAGGCTTCCTATCTAGGGTAGTGTTTGAATTTGGTTACTCATAAATATAACTTGACAGTCTTTCAAAAATAACCCCAGTGCCATCATCAAAGACTGAAACTGAGATTTGTAACTTTTACATTGGAGTGTCACAGTCTCACCTCACAGCAACAACGAGACAACACGGTTCAAACCTTCAGCTCTGGAACCTCAATGTGCTTTTGTGAGAAAATTAATTAAATAATCAATTTGCTAATTAACTGAATTTGAGCATGAATAACTATCGCTGTGTTTTAGACCTGTGATTGGCTGAGAGCCTTTCCTGGGTGTACCCTGCCTCTCATCTGAGATAGGCACCAGCCCTACTGCAACCCTCACTTAGTTAACCAGTTAAGAAAATGGGTTGATGGAAATCAGCACAGTATATCAAGATGGTACAATTACATATTGTAATAATATCTGATGACTTGCATTACCTTAAAGTGCTCTGCTGTTGTTACTATTGATACTATAATTTGTTTGGATTGGTAATTCATGTCAAGCCATTAAAGAAAAAAATACCCTATTATTCATCATTATATGTGGTTTCAAATACTTTTTAGGAACTATGGAGCCATGTGGATGGGATGTCTACATATATGCAAATATTTTTCAGAGAGTTTTTTCTTTTGGAGCATCTTTATCTCCTGACTAAAACTACCATAGGCCCTTTCCCTCTCACACATATACTTGCAACTGTTGTGGCATTTTACAACTACAACTGAATTGAACTGAATTACATTTTCTTGGCTTGAGTCTTCAAATTAAAATTCAGTAAAATTCTTACTTTCTGCAACATTTACTCTTGTTTTATCTGAACACCTGTTTGGTGCATTTATGCCTGCAAATGCATGTGTCTGGGCCACCAATACTCTGTCTGCTGTCATCTCACAGTTATGTCATGATTATCACATCAGATATAGAGCAAGTGCTTGTGTGCTGACAGCTCACTATATGACAGTGAGTCCACATCCATCCTTATGTGTCAGCGTGTGTCAAATCAGTGCGTTTGTGATGTGCGTTTGTCCCCCTTTATGTACTTATGTATAAACACACCTCTGAGTTTGACCATTTTTATTTATTTTGTCTGTCACTTTGATTGGCATTATCTTTCATTCCAAAAGAGCCAGTTTCTTTGGGTGCATGCAAGCCTAAGTATAGATATTAGTCTTTGCAGTATAACTGTGAATGATCAGAGAGAATATGATGCTATCTAAAGAGACAGCTTAAACCTTTCCCATGGTCTTCAACATCACCAGTTATTTTCTCTTCCTTCATCTGTGTCTCAGTGACAAGCAGCAGCTAAATATGGAAAGTGTTGGTAGGTGTTATTGTAATGAAGCAAAGTATTACATTTTAAAAACGAAACTGTCATGAGAGTTGTATTAAAAGGAGATTGTATTAAAACGTGTTTTCTCGTTATCCTTTCAAATTTTAGATTATTCCAGTTCTGATAGTCCATATTGTCTGGAGCAGGGTTTCCTGTGGGGTTCAAGCTACAGCTGCCATATTCAGTCAGCAGTTAAGCCATTACTCTGTAAGAAATATGCTGGGGTGAAAGTTAACTTAAGAGTGCTTATTCTACAGAGTTGTGTGTGTTTGTTTATATTATTATACCAAATGTGTGGATTTTTTGTATCCCAGCTGTTTGTGGGTTTGTGTTACACATGCTTGGAGCAAATGCTGTGTTTGTGTTCGCATGTCTGTGTGTGTTCTTGGCAGCTGCTGTGAGCCTGCGTGTCCTTAGTTGTGTTCCGCTCGATAAAGCAATTCAGGCATCTCCACGGACTCCTCCTCAGAGCCGAGGACCCTAAAAAATGCCTGACTGTGGTGCAGAAACCCAGGGCAATACTGACTAACATCTGTTCACACTGTGAACTCCTGGCATGCGACACAACACTTTACAGGAAGGAAGCATTCACTGGCAGACATACACACCCACGTGAACACATAGACTCCAGACAGCATGCCGGAACTAATTTATCATTTTTCTAACATTAGTGGTAAGTGGCAGCCAGTGGGAAGCATTTGCTCCTGCAGTTTTTTTTCTGTCTGAATGGCTGTGCAGCTTAAACCTTCAGTGCCCTATTAAAAGCAAACCTCTGACTTTTTGGTTAATATATTTCAATTAGCATCAATGTGTTTTGCCGATATAAATAAATGTGATAAATATGATGAATGGTGATGAATCACCAAATGATGTAAAGTCAAGAATAGGAACTCATGGGACCTGCCATAACCTATGTTTTGGCTATGACAGAAATGTTAGGGTCACACACTTGGACAAGGCGAGCAGTTGGGGCACATGTATAGATATAAGTATATAAGGTGATATCACTTGGTTGATAAGAAATATTTACTATATCTCCTACCACCATGTTCTAACCTAAACATGTTCATAAGTGGGTATTACACTAGGGAATTTTGTGGTTATGGATTGACTCATTTGTAATCATATTATCAGATTTACAACCAAATGACTCGGATACTTGGGTAAATAGAAGACCTGAGCTGTTAAGTGATCCCCACCTGGTGGTGACTTGTAGAAGCTGGCAGGATGTATGCCAGGCAGGCTAAGTGCACTCAAATGTTTAGTAAGGAGACCCTAGGGCACCTGAACATTGTTCTCCCATCTCTAGTAGGGCACATAAGGTGTTGCAATACAGGCTGGGGACTTTGTTTGGCACATGGGCCTCAGACATGTTTTGCACTTCTATTACTGTGTGGAGATGAAGCCATAAACTAGTTGGTGCTGGTGGCTGAAAAACTTCTATTTTATTACAACTTAACATTGAAAAACTTGTTTAAACCTGTATGCTGACTTCTTGGAGCTCATACCAGACCTGCCTTTTCCTTTTGTTTTGATTCATAAGGTTATTTTCTATTGGAAATGCACACATTGTTTCTGTTGCGCCTTGACTGTATTCTCAAAACTCCCTCAGCATACGGTAATAAAATGTACACCTCGCAAACATAAAGGTTCTCCATCCTATGTCTGGTTTGCACTGACCTTGTTGGGCATTCTGGAAGATATTATTAGTTTATTAAAACGCTGCACCATAAACTGTTGCGGAAATAATGTGAAGCTGGCTACTAAGCTAATCGTGACTTGGGGCAGTGGATTATCAAGGCCATAAATGAGATGTCACGTAGGTTTATGGATTCACTGGCTAAATTGAATTATTTGGTTGTCATGTTTAAACTGGCCACAAGCAAAAATACCACCAGCCTGATGCCTTGTAGCTAGTATTATGGCGCATACTATGATATCATAAATGAAACACTGGGGATTTTGCAGGCATGCTTGAGAACAACTAATACACAGTGCGAAAATAAAAAAAAATAGAATAGGGACATTTTTGTAAAGCCATGTCATTAAAGGGAGATGAATTAGAATGAAAAAGTCCACAGCAATTTACCAATTAGTTCAAAGCAGAAAGGTCATGTCAGATAACAGGAATCCAAGCTGAAAGAGACAGCCACTCGGTTGGTATGCGGATGACAAGGGAAGTTGAGCGAAACAAATGTGACCTCTAAATGAGTCCTCCGTTGTGCTTAATGGAACTGTTAGCATTTAGTGAAGAGATATGAAACTATCCCTACTGGAGGCAGGGGAATGTAATCCCAAGTGAGAGAGAGCGAAAAAGGACAGAAGAGAGGAGGAAAGAGAGGGAAGGAAATTGCTACCAAGTTCCATTACTCCATGGCAGCCAAAGAAAAGGTTTATCGATATATTGTTGTTGTTTTTGATACATTTAGATTATTTTAAGGAGCATCTTTAAATAAATGATTTGGAAGAAT